GCTACAAGTGGGGAGTGAGGGGCATCACCAGGGCCCAGGGGCTGTGGGTTGGGAGTGAAGGGCAATGGCATAGGCATGGGCAGGGCACCAGCATATTAGAGCTGCTCAGTGCCCCAAAGTAGGGTGGGAGAGAGGGCTGCTGCAGCTGGACCTACATCCTGGTGAGTGAAGGGGGTAGGGGGAGCTATGATTTTTTATTATAAAAAAGCCAAAATCAATCACCAATATATATAGATATTTAGAATGTATTTTATTATAATGACTGAGGCACTGGTAGGCTCCAAACTGCTTCAAAATTGTAAATATATCAATAAAACATTGTGTTCAATTGATACCTATATATTTAGTGGCATTTCATTTTAATCACAGAAAAACAGGATTTTGGTTTTTTAAATCAGAGAATTTGGGGGGCTTTATCAGAAAATTTGCTATTCCTAAACAGAGAAAACCAGGATCCCTGTTGAGTCTTTCCAGTGGTGCATTTATTACACAGGGTTATTCTTCTCCCTGAACTATGCAAACACAAGATTTGTCTGCAACTTCACAGCATGGCTGCCCTGCACTGCTGAGCTAGCAAGGCACATGTCTGGACAAAGGAAATGGGTGTGGGAAGGCCAGTAATAGGTAATATAGCAAGTGGGGGGGACACAGTCCCATTCACCTTGTGCCCAAAGTCTCAGTTTCTGTAGCTCAGCTAGCAAAAGAAAGCTATCTCTGGTATCTAGACTAGTGGGTCCATCCCACACCACTAGGGGGTAGTGGTGCACATATATCCCATTGCCAGCTTTTGAGAAGACAGAATTGAAGGCTAAGGGAGATGTAATTTGCCTCTTTGTGGGTGCGTCTACAACTGCAATTAATGTGAATGTGCGTCCAGGAGCAATAAACTCTTGAGTTTATTGCTATTTGCATGTCTGCCCAGGATCGCATCATACTGAACTGGGTCAGAGCAACCTCAGCTGGCAAGGGGGCACCCGCGGTCAGTCTGCCAGCCTGGAGCTGCTCCCCCCAGATCAATGTACTGCAGAGGGCCTGACTGAAACATCAGGGTGCTTCAGCGCAGGGTTAGCTGCCAGGCATGCCCTGCACTGAAGTGCACTTGTGCCCCAGCCAGCCGGAGCAGCATCTATATACCCTGTTGCGGAGTTTTTTACTTTGCGACAGGATAGTACTTGTATTTATAAGTACTATCTTGCTGTGGAATATGTTAATTTACTCCAGCCTAACAGAAGCACACATGTAGACACCAAGATGTTTACTGCACAGCTAATTAGTCTACTGTGCAGTAAATGCCTTGTGTAGATGTGCCCAGTGAGTCTAAAGTGACCAGCTTTTTTTTTTTTTTGTGATTGCTGATGGTGCAAACATGGCAACACTAGTTAGCAAAGCAGGTACTGCAATTACTAAAACCCACCTTCCTTGCCTAGGATTGTCCAGTCCACTATGTCCCACTTGGAGAGGGAAGCAGCATACCTTTCTCTCTTCTTATGCTCTTCCCCACCCAGCTTGGGGCAGGAGAGCAGTGTGTCAGGTCCCTTGATAATACATTTCCTGTGCTAACTCTCCCATTAAACCAAGGAGAGGAAGCATCAAAACCCTTTCTACAAGGTTCTGGGGGTGGAAATTAGAAGTAGACTTGAAAGAGAGGAAAGAAAGAAAGAAAGAAAAGGAGAAAAGAGAAAGAAACGGAGAAAGACTGAAAGTGGGTGGACGAGGGGGAAGGAAGCCAGTGCCATTCCTCAGCTGGTGGCTGAGAGTCCAATACAAACTTGAAGTGCTTTGACACTTGTGTGTTAAGCTGTGAGTTAGACAAGTCCTCCCTTCAGAAGGGAAGAAGACTCTGGAGGATAGCTGAGGGGGAGCATAATTCTTCTGTGTCCCTGTCCAAGCTCTGAGGAAGGAGACACCTGGAAGAAAGAGAAATCTGCATGCCCACGGGATAAACTTCTGTTGGTCTCTGTGGGTCACTGAGGAAGAAAGGACAGAGAGAGCAGGTGGTGAAGACAGGAGATATTGCCTCATTATCAGACAAGACAGAGTGTTTGGCTGTCATGGATCTGAAGTGCCACTCCCTTTCTCAGCTCCTTGGTTCTCTGAGAGCTGGTAAGGCATGCTGCTGAGCAGGGCTTGTAAAGGACTAGGGAACTCTGATAGGCTGTATTGTTCAATGTGGGAAGTGGGCTCTCCATGACTATTTTGGTGTTAGCCCAGGTCTTTCTGCATTACATCCTCCTTCCCTTGCTGCTGCCTGGGCTAAACTGATAAAAGGTCCAGGCAAGCCAAGGAGGAAATGCATTAGTGACTGCTTGGGCTATAACTTCTTGCACAGCTGGAATGCATGTTTTGACCCTGGCCTGATGGCATCAGAAACTGGAGAGGAAGCCCAGTGTGGCAACTTCTCCGATGACAGCAGCGATGATGGTGGTCTTGGGGAGGACAGCCCAGTCACTGGCCTACTGGGCACAATCCTGACAGTCATGTGCCTCTTTGGGATGATGGGGAACATTTACACACTGGTGGTGGCATCCAGTGGCATCTCTGGCCGCTCAGCTGGCTCTCTGGGCGTCTACGTGATCAACCTGGCCCTGGCTGACCTCCTTTACCTGTCCACCATCCCCTTCGTGGTGTGCACGTATTTCGCCCATGACTGGTTCTTTGGGGATGTGGGTTGCAGGCTGTTGCTCAGCCTGGACCTCCTCACCATGCATGCCAGCATCTTCATGCTGACTGCCATGAGCCTGGAGAGATACTGGGCAGTAACCAGGCCACTGAGGGCCAGGTGGGCTGCAAACAGCTATCGCAGACTCACTAGCTTGGCCCTCTGGCTTCTGTCACTCTTGCTCACTGTACCCATGATGGTCATGATCCAACTGAGGGACAGCAGCAGCCACAAGAAGCGGATCTGCTTCCCCACCTGGACACCTGAAGCCTTTCGCATTTATCTCACGGTGCTCTTCACCACAAGCATCCTGGCTCCTGGCCTGATCTTGGGCTTTGTCTACTTCCACCTCGCCCGAGCCTACTGGACTTCAGTGGTAGAGACACAGCCACGGGCAACGGGCCGGGCCTCCAAGCAGAAGCTTTTCTCCAGGATCTTCAGCATCATTGCAGCCTACTGGTCCTGCTTTGTCCCCTTCTGGGCCTGGCAGCTAGCCAAGCTATATGGGGCTGAGGGCCTGGGGATCAGCCCTACTGCTCAGGCATACCTTAACTTTGGCGTGACCTGCCTGACCTATGGTAACAGCTGCATCAACCCCTTCCTCTACACCCTGCTCACCAGGAACTACCGTGAATACCTGGCCCACCGAGGGGAGAGGCAGGCAGGTGAGAGAATCCTCTTCTGGAGAGGGAAGCAAGGCAG